TTTTTGTCAATACCATGCTGTCTTGATGACTGTAGCTCTATAGTGTTGTCTGAAGTCAGGGAGAGTTATTCCTCCAGCCTCTTTCTTTCTCTTCATTAATGCTTTGGAAATTCTAGGTCTTTGAAGGCTCCATATAAACTGTATTATGATTTGTTCTAGTTCTGTGAAATATGTCCTGGGTATTTTGATAGGGATTGCATTAAATCTGTAGATTGCCTTGGGCAGTGTGACCATTTTAACTATATTGATTCTTCCAATCCAAGAGCATGGGATATCTTTCCATTTTTTAAAGTCTTCTTTAATTTCCTTTATCAATGTTTTATAGTTTTCTGTGTATAATTCTTTCACCTCCTTGGTTAGATTTATTCTTAGGTATTTTATTATTTTGGGTGCTATTTTAAAGGGGATTGTTTCTTTACTTTCTGTTTCTGTTGATTCATCGTTAGTGTAAAGAAATGCAACTGATTTTTGAACATTAATCTTGTAACCTGCTACCTTGCTGAATTCTTCAATCAGCTCTAGTAGTTTTTGTGTGGACCTTTTAGGGTTTTCTATATATAGTAACATGTTGTCGGCATATAGTGACACTTTTACCTCTTCTTTTCCAATTTGGATCCCTTTTATTTCTCTCTCTTGCCTGATTGCTGTGGTTAGGACTTTCAAGACGATATTGAATAGGAGTGGTGATAGTGGGCATCCTTGTCTTGTCCCAGATTTTAGTGGGAAGCTTTTGAGTGTTTCACTGCTGGCTATAAGTTTGTCATATATAGCTTATATTTTCTCCTTCTATTTAATTTATAACTAGAGTTAAATTAGAGGGGAAAAGGATTTAGTTCCTGCCTCTAATGGTAACAACAGATGAACAGAATGATACAAATTTCTTAGCACTCCCTTTGGCTTCTCGAAGAAGTGGTTATTTACCCCCAGACTTAGTTTCCTGCAAGGGCACCACAAGAATTTCCTGAAATAATATTTATATTTCCAGATTTACAACTGCTATATTATTCAAAAATATCTTTCCCAACAGTGTGAAACCCATACAAAACATTAGAAGCCATTGGAAACCAATGTGTATGACACATGGGCAGCCAGTTGTGTGATTGAGTGTTACTCAGCAGAATTAAATCCTCCCTGGATTTATATTTCTCGGGAGAGGAACCCCCTAGGCTATAAAAAAATATTATTGCATGAGGAAAGAAAAGAGAAGATTATTATTTGGGGGATATAAAATGTACATGCCAAGACGCTGTTTTAAAATTTGTGTCATTTTATTTGACAACTACATATAGTCTTACCAAATTATTTGTCATTTTCAATACATTATAGTGTAATTTATAATAGTATGGGTAGTTATTTTTAAATATTTATTTGCTAACATAGTAATCATTTCACTTATTCTTATTCAACACGTGCTCACCTTAGGCTCTATAATTTATTTTTCCTTTTTAAAATGTATTTAATTGCCTTTGTGCATAGATTTTCATCTTTATTTTATATTTAAATTTGATGAAGAATTACTGACTCATTAAGAATTTTCTAACAGTATTCAGGCAAAATCAGGGAAAACAGTATATAAAGTGTAAAGAAATATACAGCCTTATAGAAACTTAGCTTTTTTACCTATTTTCAGTGACTGTGTGCCCTGATGTCAGAACAGATGAGAAGGGAATCAGTTACAATTACGTTCTTATCAACTCCATCTAAGTCAGAAAATAGGAATAGTTATTCAGGATCACATTACAGACCTGGGAAGATGCTGAGCTCTTAGCAATTCTGTTTTACTCTGTAGTGCAACAGAGGTAGAAGATAAACAAAGCCAAAGTCAGTATCAGCAGCATAGCAAGGACTACAATGCTGTTGAGGAAGACAGGGACAACATTTATACCTCAGGAGCTATAAAGAAGCTATACTGATCAAAGTATAGATCAAAGCTCTTGGAGAAACCAAGAATAAAGATCTTTATTGGAAATAATACTTGAGAAAACAAGAAGAAAACACAGGCATAATGTCAGGAGAGTTCAAATTATTAATTTTTCTTTCCCTGGATATGTTTGATTCTACCAGAAACACCTAAGTGTGTAAAGCTCGAGTTTCTAGTAGAATTTATCTCTGAAAAAAGGCTACTAAAGCCACATGAAAGAACAAACTGAGGGAAAAATGATGGAAAGAAACTTAGGTCTTTTTTATGATTAGTTAGGAAGTGGGTACTAGCTGGGGTCAGAGTGTGAAACCAAATTATCAGACAAAAGGAGTGATAAGGATTGAAGGTCAAGTTTTCCAGCAGTAGAGAGATTGGAAATGCAGAGATTAGGAGGCAGCAACCTGAAGAAGACACAGCACGCAAATGAAATTATCCAAGTTCCAGGGTCAAGTATCGAGGCAGAAGTGAGAGTAAGGAGACAGAGCAATCAAGTATGAGGCTTCGGAGGCAGTTTACCAGCTTACAAAAATGGTAATAAAGTGTGAAGAGGTAGTGATGTTAAAACATTTACTACTTCTAGGGGAATCATCTGGTCCATGTGATCTTAACACATTTACTACCCGGAAAACACCAGCTCTCCGAAGTCTTCAGAGAGCTCTAATAATAATGACTGTAAAGAAAAAAGAACAGAACACACATGACCACCCTAACTTATGTTAATTAACAGTGAATGGTAAGCATAAAGAAAAGAGGCCATTGACAGACACCGCAAGAGGGAAACAAAAATTAAAGACAAAGAGATTTTCAAGAATGGAGAACTGATCAAAATACAGGAAAGCTATGGGAAAATGAGAAAAAGTAGAAAAGAATATATATATATTTTTTATATATATATATTATTATATATATATAATATATATATATTATATATATATATATATATATATATAATATATATATATTATCCAGGCAGAATATCCAATTACAGATATATAAAAATGCATATATTTTTGAGTAAAAAAATAAATTAAAACTACTCTTGCGAATTTGCTTTAAATGCATATGAGAAGCAATGCATTTCAAAGGTCTTTTTGCCTTCTAAATTATAAGCCGGGCACTGTGCCTAGGTGCGTTCTCCATGAAACTAACAGACAGTCATGAAACAATTAGGTAATCATTTATAAATTCCAGCGTGCTTAAAATCAAAACAAGTGGTGTGGATTAATACTGAAGAGAGAGCAAGTGGGGGAAAGATGGAACTACTGATCAGCGGGGAACTCTGCTGGACAAGTGGAGAGACCTTGCAATGTGAGTTTTGGCCAGAAATTCCTACAGATTTGTATCTCAAGGGCCAACATGAAATAAATTATTCTGAATGGAATCTATTAAAATAAATCTCATCTGTTTCTCTTCACTTAATATAGCTACTAAAAAATTAAAAATTACATATGTAATTTGTATTTGTGGCTTGCATTTTATTTCTGTTGGGCAGTGCTATAAGATTTAGAGTTCTTTTTTCAGGTATTATTATAAAAATTACAAAACAAAATCAAACCTGCCAGAACACAGGAAGTTCTGGAAGACAGGTTTGTACTGAGGGATATAGGAGTGAGCCTGGTGAGCGGAAGAGGGTTCCAGAACAGGATAGGAAAAGGTTTTATAACTCAATAAATGCTTCTCCATTCTCTCAACTTGGAATTGAAGAAATGTACCTGAGTTTCTCTTCATTGGGCTGTCATTTATCCCATTAAATATGCAATATCGTTGCAAACTTTGAAAAAAGATCTCGCATACTGCACAGATACTTGCTCTCATTTTTCTTTTTAAAAAAAAAGTAGAAAAGTAGACCTTGAAGCTTGCAGACTATATATTCAAGTGTCTGTCAGTATACAGGCCACATGTATTACTTTGCTACCTGATAGGACTAAATGGTATCCCAGTAGGTACCTTTCTCTTTTTCATCCTCTCAGTTTATGTTTTTGTATGTACCCATGCCATTGTATGCATGTCGAATTGAAAATACAAAAACAGGCAAAAAAAAAAGAAGAAAAGTGTGATACTATAAACTTTTAAGAATTTAATGTCAGAATTTGCACGATGTATCCAACCTAACATGAATAGTTACTTCTTCACAGGAGGCTTCATGGAGACTGAAGCTGCAGCTCAGGAGTCCCTGGGGTTAGGCAAACTTGGAACTCAAGCTGAGAAGGATAGAAGACTGAAGAAAAAGTAGGTTTGGAGATTTATTTCCTCTTTTTTCTAACTTTTAGTTGCTTTTTATCATTGTTCATGAGGCATTAAAAAGAGAGTAATTGGAAACAAAACCATAGACTGAGGCCAATATTGTCCTGGTGTTCCCTAAAACTATTCAGTGCCCCAGTTTCATGGCTATGATGGGCTAACTATTAAAATAAAAATCTTTGGCCCATAGTAGAAATAAACAGTTTTTCCTAAGAGATAGAAGCATTTATTTCAAAACTCAAATATATTTAAAATATTTAAACGTAGCCTTACAAATAATATAATATTCCATTTGATGTTAACTTCAGTACTGAATTGATATGATAAAGTAAGAGAATATACCATCCAACTTTGTGCTGCTTCTCATGATAGTTAAAGGACCTCCTCTTAAAATGGAGTATTTAAAAGGGGAACGTTTCTCTGACTGATTGAATAAAAACTTATTTTAGGCTCACAGCAGATTGTTTTGCATCTGTCAGGAAACAGTGTATTTTTCATTCACATATAATATAGAACATTTAAATGACTTGCAAAATTGGCAATCTTGGAGTCTTAGCAGCTGTTAGAAAGCAAGTGGGTCCATAAATAACATACTTTTTAAATGCATAGTAACATTTTCAGTGATGAAATAGAACCTTTAGACCATGTTCTTTAAAAGCCGAAAAACTTCTCTTTATTCTAGAATCTATTGGTTGGTTACTCCTTTTCCTTCCTCTCAAATATTTATTATATTGTGTTTACAGTTTTCACATTTACCTTCTTTCCTACGAAACAGTGATCATTGCTCTAGTCATCACTGTAACAGACACGTGCACGTGGTTGTGTTAGGCTATTAATTTACTTCATATTTTGCTTTCCCAATTGCTTTGCAGATGTTTTCTAATAATGAAGAAATATGTGCTTACAAGTTGTGGAAGAGTTCACTACTCTGATTGTTTCATTAATTTTCTACTTACTAAAATTAGACAAATATCCAAATTTGGTAGAAATACTGTGCAGAAAGAAGAAATGACCTTGAAAGCATTATTTCTGGAATACAATTACATGCCCAGTCAAATTCCATACTAATAAATATTTCCTCTTTAGTTACTGATAACTCGAAAATATATTTAAATGTTACCACAATCTGTCTGTTCCTATCAATGAACGTTATATTTTATGGTTACGTATTGAGAAAGGAATCTTCTCCTTTGATAGACTTTAAAATTTATTTGAAGTCTAAAGGAATTTCAATTTGTTTAAGATAACTTTACATCTAAAGGGATAAGAATAATCAAACCCAGCCTGGTTAATGGACTTGGTTTATTTCCCTTAAAAGTTAATTCTCATATTTCTCACAATGAAATATTTACAAATAATAGCAACCTGGACAGTTTTCATATTGCATATAAGCTGATATTGAGGCAATAACTCACATAGTTCTTTTATTGTTTGGGGGACCAAGTTAAATGTCCTTTTTAACAGCTACTAAAGTTAAAAACTCCAATTATACAATGATTTAACAAAATCGTATATTTAGAATTGAAGTTTGTAGTTGTTAACTTTACACACCATTGGATTCACTTGATATTAATTTTATGGAATTATTTCTTAAATCCTAAGTATCCTTACAGTCAGAAAGTAATTTTAGTTCTGGATTTAGTTTGATTTAGTTTGAAGATCTTACTATGCTTGACTTTATTGTTTTGTTTTGCAATATGTTTTGGCAAAATATAATTTTTAAATGTAGTAAGGAGAATACTTGACTATTAAGAAGAATATTAAGCACAATCTGTAATACAACAAAGGCTAACATTTCTTAGCCCAACTATTTCGTGTAGAATAATAGTATTGGGTTAAAATGGATCCAGCAATGCAAGGCATTGTTAATTAATGAAAGGACAGAAATATTTCTCTGACTATCTCATAGCAAGAGCCCCATAAGCATATGTATGAGCCTGTATTTGTAAGATACACAGATGAGTGCTCACACTTATTCAGAAGTTCTGTGGCACCATGCCTTGGCTTCTGGGTTACCAAAGAGTGGAGTGTCTTCATGTATTGGGTTTTATAAGGTAAGCAAGATAAATTATTTTTATTTTTTATTTTTTTATTTA